AACTCAGCAAGTACGTTTACAGTTAGTGTTCTTACAACACACTTGAAAATGAAAGTTGAAGCTTTATATAATATGTTCAGATATTAACTGCAATAGACACTTGCAGGCACACCTACAACAAGTGTAATTGAAAACCTGAGCATCGCAATGTTTTAAAGGAAAAAAGCCTCTTTGGCTTCGGATAAAAGTTCTTGAAACTTTTCCGCAGGGAATAATTCACTCATCAGTATGGTTTCAAAAAGTTCTTGTGTTAACTTTTTTTTCTAATTATTTTCCAACGGTGATAGCGGTATATATGTATACATACATATGTTGTATATTGCTGCTTTTCTTCTCCCCTTTGCTTAGGAGGTGTACGAGTAAATTTATTGCGTTGAAACTTGTGTCTTCATAAGACGTGTTCAGACGCGTTCAATTTTCGACAAATGTCACGTAGCGATAACTTAGATGTTAATCGCTGAACGATCTAAGTTTCAGTTGTTTACAAGGCGTCATCCAATATATATCAAAGGATAAAGAGAAGAAAATCATTTATAGAACTGCATGTTCTGTATGCAGCTCAAGCTGCAGCGATGGCTGAAATAGCTTGGAATGAAACGTAGTAAGCTACGAAACCGTTAGAAAGTGGCTTGCAAGATTTCAGGCAAAAAACTTTTGTCTTCAGCAAAAGCAAGCAAGGCAATAATTGTCAGCCTAGTCTGGGAAGCTTTACTGCATCCCTCATATTTCTCAGACGTGATCCCTTCCGGTTGCCACTTATTCAGAGCGATACAGACATATTTCGAAAGTCAGTGATTAAGAAAAGTTGAAAACGCCCAAAAATAGGTCAATAGCTATCCGATAAGTGGAGAGGGACCATAGTGAATGATGGTGCATATTTCGATTATTAAGTTTTGTAACAAGTATATTTTACATAAACCTGAATTTTTTCAAAAAACGGAACGAATTTGCTCGTACACTAACCTTCTATTCTATATGCAGCAGCAAAGCAGAATCACTTAACCTAAAAATCAACAATTACTCTATTGAATAGTCATGACACTTTATCTTAAATAAACAAATATATACACATACATATATATATAGAGGGGGGAAATATATATATATATGGAGAGAAAGAGGGAGACAGAGAGAATGAAAGAAATGAGCTTTCTTAGCTGACTATTGTTAAACACACAATGTTGGATGGGTAGCATCTGTTTATGCTCAATAGACTACATTTTAGGTTAAGTCCTTCTGCTCCTTTGCTATTCTATCTCCACTAAGAACTTTAACAATGAAAAACGAACCAAAATCTTCCCTATTACCAATTGCAAAAGACTTCTCGTCTTCTATAGTATAATCAACTACACTCGCAATGAGAATTATCGCCTCTCATATCAAAAGCCTAAACCTAGTCGCTTTTTATGTCTTTCATTGTTAGATCTCTCGCTGAAGAACGGCATTTTGCTATTCCGCTTAAAGGATATGTAGGAAATACGTACCGGGGGCACCACCACCCTTGCACACATATTTCAGAATGAAAGATTGAGCCATAGGCGCAAAGTGAAAGCCTTTAACCATAACAAATGTCCGACGTCGACATATCCGCCCGTCTGTCCTTCTGTCATCTCCTTTTAAGAACATGTACGAACGGAATCATATCGACTTGCTGCAGTATGTATTCTTGCTTAAAGACCTTGACAGCTCCCTTCATCTCCCCAGAGTTAACTTAACGGCTGCCGTAAAAACGTAACTTACAATCTGCAGGATTTATGTGTCGATCAAATTAGTGCTCCTTTATACGCGCAATTTGCCGATGTTGTTTTTGGATGAGATTAATTAATAAATTTGGATCCAAATTTGTCTACTATTGGTTGCGAAGTGGACACTGAAATGCTCCGTCCAGTTTAGGACAGAATTTTGGCTTAGTATAAGATGTTATAATATTTTCATTATTTGAATTATATTCTTATGCGTACATAAGTCGGTTATACACGCTATATCAGCTTCACTTGTTACCCTAAATTAAATAGCATTTGGTGCAGCTGCTTATATGCTACGAAGGCGTTGTAAGTTTTGCTTTGAAAATTCTATATATGCTCTTAGATGATCATTGGTTGAAGTGTTTGGAGCCAAATAAACAAAAACGTAAATCATTTGAAAGTTTAATGCAAAATTGGACGTTATCGGTTCAAAAATAAGCCCGCAATAAGGAAGAAACATTAATTTTTGCCATAAAAAGACACTAATGTGAGCATCTTATTATCTTGTTATTTGCAAGAACTTTTGCAAATATCCATAATTAAAAGACCTCTTCACTATCTTCGTATGTATGCAAATATAACTTTTTACCTTCCAATAATAAGCTTACTTCAAATCCGCATTTGAATGAAATATCTATGATTAGTCAGTCTTCTTGATTGCCATAGATTTCGAGTCAATTATTTCTACTTGAAAAAAGTTTTCATTATTTTCAATTTAATTTTATACTTTTCTCAATTTTCTTTTCTTTTTTTTTTTTATGTATATATATTAATTTGAAGGTTATTCTTATCATTACTGGTTGACTTTGCATCGCTGCTTTTTATTGTTTTTTTTTTTTTTTTTTTTTTTTATTTTTTTTTATTTCTTAGATGAGAAAAAGTTTTGTCTTTTAAAATTATTTATTATGACAAACATTATGAAAATTTAAGATTTTCAAATTTTACTGTCACAAATACAGACATATGAAAATATATATAACATATGTACAGATATTAAAGAAAGATTTTCTTTAACTTATGGCCATTAGCCAAAAACACTTGAGATCAACAAACGCGATAGAAGAACAATAAGTAAAAAAGAAAATAAAAAAAAAAATGATATGAAGAAACAATTGTAATGCGTGCTTGCCCGCATATGTAGATCAATATGTCATTTTTGCTCTGTGAACCGTTTACACGCACCGCAATAAAACTCAACAAACTCGGAGACGAAAGAAAGTGTTTTTGAGAAGTGTTGAAAGAACTCGAAAAAGAAAGAAGAAAATTACGAAGGCAAAGAAAAATATTTCATAAAACTAAATGTTACGAAAAATGAAGGAAAACAAGATTAACAAGAAACATCTGTTTTATCTAGACAGTTTAGCAGATGCCCAAAAACATTCTGTTCTTCATTTCACTTCAGTGTGATGGGATGTCGAGCAACTTAGAAATCTCCTCAAATCTTTTAAAAACCTTTTTTTCTCTCTCTCAACATCTTGCGGCTCTTTGAAAAGAAAAAAGCTTACATCTGCAGCTTTTTGGGACATTACAACAGAACGCTTCAACGAAACGCGGCGGTAGCTACATCAGTAAGATTTGATGACCACGAGAGTGTTCATACGATCTGAGGTTATCTCTCGTTGTTTGCCGATAATGCAAGATCTCTGGATTTGAGTTCTTCCTCGAACATATTTATAGGCCTCTTAAGCATGACAGTGAGTGTAAATGTGTATACAAAAACCCACAATATATCAGTATAAGAGTGGGTGACTGTTCAGAAAGTGATCAAAGCGATAGTAGTTCAAATATATGACAAAATCTGTAATGGACTCTGGAAAGGGGATCTATACTTGGCTTCAACATCTACCTAATTATGTTCAATTTTCTGTTATCTACTCTCGTTTTCGAGCTGCGTTTAAAATTTGACCTTCATTTTATTTTTCATGGTCGATTGTGCTGCATTCTTAAAATTCAATTAATTTAATTCATTTAATACCGACACTTATCTCTATAATATGTTGTGTGTTGACGGCGCATTCAAATATTGTTGTATTTTATTTACTTCAATTTAAGAGTTACCACTCCTACAATACTTGTTATGCTAATTTAGGTTAGAACTTGGGATGGATCCCATGAGTTGTATTTGAGTAGTTTGTTCACCTGTCCGTCTAATGTTTGTCCATGAAATTTTCGATTTCAGATGGACCGAGAACAAATATTGTTGAAAATTTATGGTATACATCGCTCCCTGTAAAAAGCCCTATTTTAAGAAAACTATCTAGATGAAAATAATTTGTTATACTTAAGCTTCTGCGGATGCGGTGCAATTTCCAGAAGGGCGTGAGATACACCCATAAAATTCGAACACCTTGGTTCTAGCACTTGCTTCTGTCTGAGGACTTTCATGAAAAGTAAGGCTTTACATGAAGGAAAGTCCTCATGTTGAGCAATTAATGTGAGGAGAAGATATTTGCTGGAAAAAAAGGAACAACACTAAATTCAACTTTTAGACCCTCCCTCAAAAATAATGTTTACAATTCTTAATTTTATGAAATTTTTTAATTTCGGATTACGGTCGGCAGAGTGGCGTAAGGTGTATAAAGGATCGACCTTGCCCTTGCCCAATCACAGCGTTCTAAATTGTTTTAAAGCGAATGAAATGAAAATAAATTATACAGGATTACATCACATTCACTATTGAAAAAAGCAGGAGAGAAGGAAGATAATGTTCTTTCTATTCTCGCCAGCAATTCGATTTAAAAAAAAAAAAAACCAAATGCAAAACCAAATGACAATTCTCATACATGACAGACAAATTGTCTGTCCAAAAAAAAAAAATTTTATCAGACTGTCTATTCTTCGATGGCTACTAATCTTTAACATTGCTATGTACATTTAACGATTGCTTACGATGGCTCACATTAATAACTCCACATAATCCAAGGATTGCTTTTATGAGCTTAACTAACACACAAAGTTTTCAACGTTTTCTTGATACCTTTTCTTTATTTTGTTTATTTAATTTCTCGTAAACGCATGCTGCTTGCTTTAGTTCAGTGGTAGAGGAAATTTTCTTAACTTCCTAGTAGAGAAAAAAATGTTTTAAAATTCCTTACAATTTACCCTACACAAGAAGCGAATTCCGTTTAATGAAATTTCAATCCTCAACATAAAACAACACACTTTGCTCGACGCTTAAGAGTTGAGTTAAAAATACAGCCAAGAAATTCTTTAATTTTGTTTTCATCACATTGTTTTTCTTCGTCAAAATCGCAGATAAACCGCAATGTCGTAAATGTGCTAAAGCTTTACAAGAATTGGAGAATATCGACGATGAGGCCGATCAGTTGGGTATTGGTTTTGTGAAAATACATGATGAAGCTTTAGCGGAGGAATATAATTTGGGTGGCTTGCCGGCCTTGGTTTACTATCGTCATCAGACACCCATTATATATGAAGGTATATGCACATAAAAAACCCATCAGATTCTTCAAATCAAAACTCACGTCTAAACTTCCGGACTTTTTCCCTTATTATTATTAAATGCAGGTGAACTGCAACGTGAAGAGGATGTCTTGGAATGGTTAGTTCAGAATAAATCCACCGGCGATGAAGATGACGTTATAGAAGATGTTACCCCAAAGACTTTAGCCACTTTAATCAGTAACATCGATAATTTGGTGGTATTATTTTGTACGTCAAATGAAAATCACTTTTTGTTCGCAAAATTAAAACAAAAAAAAACCAAAAAAATGATCGATTTTGATTATCTTAGATGATCACGGCAATGATGATTCAATGACCGTATTAGAAGAGCTAGAGCAAATTGATGACGACTGCGATAAGCATGGCATACAGTTTGTAAAAATTGACGATGCCAAGACCGCAGAAGAATTTGGTATAGATACGGTATTTAAATGTCTCAAAAGCAGAGAAGCCAAAAATGCCCAATAACATTATCTTGCCTTATACACAGATTCCGGCCATAGTTTATTTCGAAAAACAAATACCCAATATATACGATGGCGATCTTATGGATGAAGAACAAATTTTGCAATGGCTTATTTCGCAATTGGAGCACGATGAAATTGAAGATGTTACCGATGAAATGCTCGATAAAATGGTTAAAGAAGGCCGCGTCCTGGCCGTTCTATTCTGTAATAACTTTGATATGAAATTATTGCTTTAAGCGAACGTTCAAACACTTTCTCTCTCTTTGTTACCCGCTTCTCTGTTCTACTTTCATTTTAACCTGCAGATGATAATAATGATGAGAAATCGGAAAGAGTCTTAGAGGAATTGGAAAATATAGACGATGAATGTGACCAATTGGGTGTAACGTTTGTCAAAATTGACAATCCCGAGGAGGCCTTGGAATATGGCATCACTAAAGTTCCTAAACTCATTTACTTTGAAAAAGGCATTCCAACCATTTATGAAGGCAACCTAGAGGATGAAGAGAAATTGCTTAAATGGCTTGAAGAACAAACCAATTCCGATCAAATTGAAGATATAACCGACGAAATGTTAGATTTGATTATCGAAAAAATGCCACACGTAGCGGTTCTATTTTGTAAGTCATTTTCTTTGTTTTTTTTTTTTTTTTTTTCTTTACGCGTGGAAGAATTCTCCATTGACTTTAAACTTGAATTAGTTAGGAATAGGGGATAAGTTCCTCCTACGTTAGTTAGAAAAACTTGCGATTGCTAAGCGCTTAATAATAAACTTTTATTAGAAAATGAATGTTAACTTCTAACATAATCAGCAATTGAAAAAATGCCGCAGGTAGTTTTATATCTTGAAGCATTGGTACATAAGAATACAAGACCATATTAAGCTTGTACGAATTTATATAACATTCGCAAAGACTTGACTTGTATTACGTAGATCCAGTCGGAATCACTTTCTGTATCGATCTAAACCTGCCTGCGTGTCTGTCCGTCAGTCCGGTAGCAAATTTGCGAGATATTTTGATAAAATATCATGCAGTGTCCTGCTTGGACGAAGTTATTCCAAATAGCACCTTCCACATGCAAAGTCGTTACATGAATATATAGCCGACTCTTTCACTATAACGGTCAGTGCAAAATCACTTTTCTGTCTGTCCGCCTGACCACGTTATTTTCTTGTATTCATTCTACAGCTCGCCATTTCTCATGTCTTTGGTGAAGCTTGACACTCCAATATGCGCTGGCCCAAAGGCAAACGCTATTTAACAACTTTTTCGGCCACTTCTCATATAACAACTTATTTTGAAAATCGTTATATAAACAGTCGTACTAAAGAAAGCGGTGAAGAGTTTTTAATGGCGAGTCGTGTCCCACCACGGTGTTTCTAAGCTAGTGGGAAATCCTTGTTGTAATTACATTGTATATAGAAAAAGCCTTCAACTAGTAATGTCTTAAACAAGAAAGCTTGCTTGCGCTAAGCTAAGCGCTTTACTAGAAAATGATCATTAATTTCTAACTTGGTCAAGTGATTAATTTTCAGGCAACTTTTAACATTTCTAACCATTTTCTCTCTAAGCTCAATTATTTACAAATAATTTTACATTAATTTTCAGACTCTAAGAAATGGTTAACATAAAATATATATGAAATTCTAAGAGGATATCAGATTTGTTTATGATGAGGTACAAAAAAAGTGTATATTTGAAAATTTAAATTTGAAGACCTCTAGTAAAGACATTCTTGCGTTTTTAGTGTTAAGGACAAGCATAACTCATTGCGTGTCTTAAAGAACCTTTTGGGGTTCTCTCAGGAGCAACCATTTATTTACTTAATCTTATAAAGTCCTATCTATGCACACTTCTTTGAAAAAATAAAAGCTTCCAGAACTTGTACTTGGAGTTTTATTAAATTTTCTTGATTTTTAAAACATACGTCGTCTTGTTCTCTTTGTAATCTTTGTAATGTACAGATGATAAAGATCAAAAAAAATCTCAAAAGATTTTATCCGAATTGGAAAATATTGATGACGAATGTGATGCAAATGATATCGCATTTGTGAAGATCGATGACGATACCGAAGCGAAAGAATGGGGTATTGATGATATACCCGCGATGGTCTTATTTGAGCGTGGCATACCACATGTTTACGATGGCGATTTAATGAAAGAGGATGAATTGCTTGGTTGGCTAGTTCATCAGAAACGTTACTCGGAGATACCCGAAGTAACTGATGAAATGAAAGACAAACTAGTAGAGAATACCGAACACTTGGCCATAATTTTCTGTAAGTATTAAAATGCTCTTAATATCCATTTATTGAGTGTGCATTTAACATGTTCATCTTCAGATGATAAAGATGATAAGCAGGACATACGTATATTGAATGAGTTGGAGAATATCGACGATGAGTTAGAGAAGGAAGGCATTGTTATAGTACGAATCGATAATGCAGCCGAGGCCAGAGAATATGGTTTAGATCATTTGCCATCTTTAATTTACTATGAAAACAAAATTCCAGCTCTGTACGAAGGCGATCTAATGAATGAAGACGAAGTCTTAGAATGGCTTATATTGCAAAAGAAAACAGCCACCATTGAAGAAGTAACCGATGAAATTTTAACAAATTTGATTAATGACCATGAATATGTGGTAGTTTTCTTCACTGGAGCATGTGAACCTGGAGAAAAATGTGATCGCACTTTAGTAGCTTTGGAGACCATAGACGATGAATTAGATGAAACTGGCATTATATTTGTGACCACCGAAGATACTGCCGTAGCCAAGAAATACAATATAAAAACATATCCTCAGTTAGTGTTCTTTAGAAATCGGGATCCCTTAATATTTACTGGTGACTTGGAAGATGAAGATGAAGTTTTGGCTTGGATTACCGATGAAGAGACTTTAGAAATCCCGGGACGCATAGAAGAGGTCAATGCAAAAATGTTGGATAAAATTTTGGCCGAAAACGAGCATGTCGTAGTATTCTTTTGTAAGTATAGCTAGCGTTAAGCGTTAATGTTTTTTCAAAACTAAAGCCGTGGATTCTTTAAATTCTTCTTTATAGACAGCGAAGGCGATAAGAAATCGCAAAAAATTTTAAATGAATTGGAAAATATTGACGATGAATGCGAAGAAAAGAATATAGATTTTATTAAGACATCTGATGATGATATTGAAAAGGAATATGATTTACCCGGACTGCCGGCTCTGGCTTTTTATCGCCATAAGTTTCGAACGATATATCATGGTAAACACTCTTTTAGCGTTGAGAAGCCGTCCACAATATATTTTATTCTGTTTCCTTTTCTTTATCATTTAGGTGACCTTATGAAGGAAGACGAAATTCTAGAATGGGTTATAGAGCTTTATGAATCGACGGCCGATGTTATCGAGTCGGTAGATCGTAAAACTTTACAAGTTCTCATTAACGATGTCGAACATTTGGCCGTATTCTTCTGTAAGAACTAAAAACATTGTAGTGGGTCACGATCCACCATTAAATACCCTTCATCACCCTACAGTCATTCATATAACGATTTTTCAAAAAAAGCCGTTATATGGGAAGAGATCAAAAAAGTTGTCCGATCCGAACAATTATCAATAGCGTTTACCACGTTGAATTTCAATAATATATCTCAAAAATTACGACCTTTATGTTGAACACGAGGAAACAAGACAGACAGACGGGCAGACAATCTTAGAAATAGTTGCTCAATCGATCTGTATAATAAAGGATGGATCAATAGCAAGTGGTTCTGGGTATCACATACATTCGCACAAAACTTAATATACCATTGTATAACAAGTGATGTAGGGTATGAAAGTCGACGCAGATATTACATGATTTTTTGATAGTTTATTCTCCCACCTCTTTTACGTACCAGACGATAACAAATGTGATTCATGTTCTGCCATATTGGAGGAATTGGAAAATATTGACGATGACACCGATAAACATGGAATACAATTTGTTAAATCGAATGACGTGAAATTGGCCCATGAAATTGGAATTTTTGCTTTTCCCGCTTTGGTTTACTATGAGACAGGCGTACCGATCATGTATGATGGTAAGTATCCACATATATCTCGCTCTCGCTGTGTGCCTTTTCTTCTTATTTGACTTTTTATTAATTGTAGGTAATCTCAAAAATGAAAATCGTGTACTGCAGTGGTTGATCAATCAAAAGAGTAAGCGTTTATTGTTCCAATATCGTCTTTCCCTTTTTTTCTGTTACCTTTTCTTCCATTCTTATCACTCACAACATATATATATCATATGTTTAACATGAATATATTCTTTTTATGTGCTTTAATACAACGATCTCTCATGTGTTAAGGTGCCTATCCTGCCTATCATTTCCTGGACTTTATACCTATCTGTGTAATTAATGTTATTAATATATAAACAACAAATTTTTATTTACAGTAGATTTTCTCAAATCCTAATGATTATGGTCTCAAATGTCAGCATTTCTCACAATTTAGTATAGTTTTCTCAAATTCTCTCCCGAACATTCCGTTCACACTCTGTAAGCCATATGAATGAAATTCTGTTAAAATTCTCCCCCTTTCTTTTGCTTTAGAAATAATTGACAATTGTATTGGCAATCCTACGTTTTATGATACCTTTCGAATATAATATTCCAACTTTTTTTTTCTTATCCGAGAAAAATTTTGGAACATGGAGAAAAAAGATTTGGATATAAAGTCATATACTTTGAAGAAATTTTTAGAAAGAAATTTAAAAAAAAAGTATACATAATTTTTTCTAAGAGGGACTTAAGCTCGTGCTCTTAATAATACAATAGAGACTTCAAAAGTCACAAGGCAATTTTTCTTTCTAGTTTTCGTGGTTTAGCAATCTTAGTTTGGACTTTATTTTAAGTACACACCAAACCGAGTTCATCTGTGACAAGAAGATACACTAGTGACCGGTCACAATGCCAGAATACGACTGCTAATCTAAACTTCTTACATTTTTTGTTTCACAAATTATTACTTACAACTATGCGACTGATAATGCGTATCAAATATACGAATGCATATAATGAACATCAAAATATCTTGCATAAGAATTAGGAAGGCGAAATTATGGAAATAGACCAAGAGTGGGTATAACTAATTTCCTTTGCACACATTACACCAAAAAAGGGCTTAAAATTGCTTTCTTTAAAAAAAGACTGAAATGCTTTTTGTAGATCTCATAAAACATAAGCACTGTTGATTAGAAAAACCCTCCAAATCAATTTGGCTATATTAGGTCGTCTGTCCGCGGAAAATATTGATCGTATAAGATATTCGCCCTATATATTTTTAATGCTTCGTATACGCGTAACACGGTGAACATCAAAGTGAAATATGCAGGGTATGGTAAAAAGGGATGGCACCCCAGGAAGTTGTGCGTCCGATCGGTAAGTGTTATGCTTTTACCGATCGACCATTAACTATAGTTTCGTTTACACACCAAGCGCAATTGAATTACTATTCGAAGATTGAACCTGGGTATGCCACGCTTCTCATGTACTTGGCTATACGAATGTGTATGTTCGACTGTATATGCTTAAACGCTCTCAACCTATTTAACCACGTTCGTTCGTCTGTTTAATGTCCAAATTGCTACGATTTTAAAAATTGAAATAAAAACCTGCACCTTGAGATTACTCGAGGGCCATAATGATATCTTGGAGATTTTTCTTTATAATTTTTTTTTTTTTCATTTTAAATTTCAAATCCTATACGTTAATCGAAGAGTCGTTTTGTGGAGTCAGCTCATCACCTCAAACTATCTTTAATGACCGCAGCATTATCTCCACTCTCCACCGATTTGTTTCAAATGCTTCCTTAGAATATTTTCTAACAAAATACATAGGATTTTTCTAACTTATTCATTTTTCTTAACGAATTTTACCCGATTGTTTCTCTGCTTAAATGCAATATTTTCAAAATTTTCCACCTGTATCACTAGATAATGGTTTCGTAAAGCCATATGCTAAATTTGAAATGGACAGCTTGAGAATCAATCTACGCTACAGGTACGGCCAAAAATGTATTATGATAAAAATGTTTACGAGAACTGCCGCTGTGCGATTTTTGCTAAAAAACGAAAAAAAAAGATAAAGAAAAAATATTTGCGTCAGGCTCACCAATGTGGAATCGACAAGTGCGTTGTTTGTGAAAATAGTGACGCAACATAGACTCACGCTAATCAAAGTATACTGCAAAAAAATCTACGTTATTTTCAGGTATGCCAACCTTTTTCAGGCATACCACCTTTCTTACAATATAAATGTACATGATTTTAGCAGGGTTACCGTCACTCTTCAAACTATTAGTAATCCCCACAAATAGTGTTTTAAAAGAACATTTATTCGGAGGAGAGCAAATAAGGATGTTTAAGAAATGCTGTTCAGTGCATTGACTTAACTTTCGTAAATACATTCGAGAAAATGACAGATATTTTCATGCTGCACAGAATGGCATTACTTCGTAAGTTCATGATCTTGAAATTGCGCCGTTTGCTTCCGGAAAACAGGTTTTTCAATTAAGTGATGGATGGATTGATATTTTAATGTATGGCACTTTCGCAGTGTCTCTTGAAATTTTCATTTCCCAATGTCGTTTGAGGGGAAAAGTAATGAGATCGTTTAAACAGCGAAAGCATAAACAGGTTTTTCGAACCAATTTAAATACAATGTTAAATTATAAACTTGTATCCAGATCTTTATTTTTTTGTTAAAAAAAAAAAAAAGAGTTAAAAAAAGGTTCTTCTCAACCCTATAAAAAAATTTGTTTTTAAATAAACTTTATAGGATTTTTGGAAATGCATGATAACAGCACAATAAACTGCATTTTGAAGCGTTTTCCTTCCCCAAATCCACACTAGGTGTTGTTTTAATTTATCTTAAAATTAATAATCAAAAGCCAAAAAAAATTGTTTTTTTCAAATACTTTTTTTTTTGTTAATTTAAACAATTAAGTTATTAAAAAGAAAAACATAGCTGACACAATGTTTATTTATTTAATTTACATTTTCTTTTTTTTTTTTTTCTTTGTTTTTAAATATTTCATATATATTATAAAAAAATTTAAATAAAATTAAAAATTAATATGAAAATTAACTAAACTTTTGCTTAATTAAAATGTAAACAAATTAATTAATAAATTTACTTAATAAATACATATATTTTCTTTTTTAACATGAATTCTGAAAAACACAAAAAAAAGAACATTAAAACCAATTTATAATAAATTTGTTCCAAATCCTTAGGTATTAAAAGAAATTATTATTTATTGTTATTTTTTTTAAATATATAAAAATTTAGCGTTTAGCGAAAGCATCAAAAACATTTTGTCAGTTATCTTAGTTTGTATTTTTGTTTTTTTTTTTAATTTTTTAAATACGAAAAATAATAAAATAAAATAAAAAATTTGCCAATAATTTCAAAGCACGCTTCATTTCTTGATTTTTTTCTTATGTAAAAAAAAAAAAAAATAATCAAATCTATAAATATTGCAAATTATTTACCTAAAAAAAAAAAAGACCAAACCAAAGAAGGAACTTGAAATACTAACTGTGTTTACTTTTGATTCTAAATGAGAAAATAATACAAAATTTATTTATTGTTTGTTTAGTAAAGAAACTAAGTAACGTGTGTGATTTTTTATATATTAGTTTTTTTTTTTTTTTTTTCTTTTACATTCTTTTTTCTCTCCTTGGCCTTCGTTTGTTGTTGTAATTTAATATATATATATTTTTTTTAAATTGAAAAATGAATGCGAATTTCTTCTTTTTTTTACGTTCCATAACGTTACGTTTGTTCAAATAAATCTGACAAAATGTTTTTGTTTGTTTGCCACACAGATGACGATTGTTTCTATGTGGGCTTGGGTCATGATGGCCGTGCCGCTAAACGTGAATACAAACCATTCCAATGCTGTCCAACAAAATTGGAAAAATCAACAAAAGTTCCTAAACTGACTGCTCAGAAGATAGGCTTTAGTGATAACGATGACGATCATCACGCGAAAAAAAGTGCCGGTGGAAATTTTAAATTTAATTCTCCTGAAACTAGAACCTCGACACCACCCCATCACACTGCAACGAAGAAACCCATCGTTCATAAACCGAATCTGTCTAAGCACCGTAAACCTACCGTAAAAAAGGATAGTGATGAAGATGATGATAAGGACGATGATGATGATGATGATGATGATGACGATGATGATGATGATGATGACAAGAGTATGGATAAAAGTAGTGAAAACGATGACGACGAAGTACCTTTAGTTAAAGTTTCTTATGCTAAACGTAAAGTGCCAGTAAAAAAATCTACCAAACAAGAGGACTTTAAACCTAATATGAAAGCTAAAAGTTCACTACCAGCCTCTCCAACCGCGACGGCAACGACGAAGAAAGCTCAAATCAAGGAAAAGAAAGATGACAAATTCAATATTAAAAGCGGTACGTTCGACTTCACCAAATATATTGTTTGGTAAAGGAAAAAATTGAGTTCGCGTCGCCAGGCAATAAATTTTTCTACAGGACTACAAGTTTGCTTGAGTGTTTGCAAAGATTCCTTAAGCATTAAAAGGCATCTTAATCAGATAAGCTTTTGCTTAAGAAATTTTTTTTTTATATATTCTAGAAAACTTATAGTTCTATGCTTTTTCGCTATTCTTCTTCGTCTTTACTATCAAAATATTCTTCCAAAATAACCTAACACCACTAAATACTTTGCCAAAAAGTCTCCCATCTTTTAAATTACACTCTACAAGACCACGGCTACTGTTTGTTGCTATCTTCACCTCGCAAACTCTTTGCCTTTTAACTTATCGCGTCTGTAACCCTCATTCATCCAAAGCTTCCTGCATTCACAGATACTGCCTGCAAGACCGTGCTTACCGTGTTTTATTTTCTTTAGCCTGCTGACTTTTCGAGGCTCTCTTCCTCGCTGTCTCTTCCTTGCTTTCTTTCTTTCTCTGTCAAGTTAAGTTCCGTTTTCTGAGCCTCTCTTCTGTTTAAAGAAAGCTCGTTTTTGTAGCCACCACGCGTTGTTTATAAAATTTTAAAAATGCTTGTTACGCCTTTGAAAACCAGTAAAGAAAAAATAACTTGTCGGTGGACTAAGTTTCATCAAAGTAATTCGAAAATTGCCATCTGCATGTCGGACACAAAAAAATAAGGCGGACACACACCCGGACGGGTCGATAAACGGCCGAAAACATGAACGAACAGACAAACGTACGGGAAACCAAACTTTGAGGCAGTATAATAAAAAGTGAGTCTATATCAAGCCCTGTGTGTTGCACACATCTGTAAAAACTTAATACAACCTTGCACCATAAGTAGTGTAGGGTACAAGAACGGAGTATGCAAACGTAAGAAGTTTTTAAATCATTCAGTTATCCGCTGTCTGCTGCCCACTCTTTTAAAAATAACTTAAGAAGCGGAATAAATAAAGTTATCTCCACTCTCTCCCTCTATCTCTCTCTCTCTCTCTCTCTCTCTCTCTCTCTCTCTCTCTATCTCTCTTCTCACTCTAACAAGCTATGGAAACCCGTGGTGGATATTAAAAGATTCGGCCTGTGTTGAATAATATTTTTTCTCCTCTTTCAAAAGCACATCCGGCTTGTATGAACTTTACTCTAAACATATTATTTTTAAAATTATTTATATTTTGTCAAATTCAAATTCTGAATTCATATTTCAGCTTTAACTACAATTGGCTAGAATTGGAATAAAACTTTCAAATTTCAAAACGCAAGATATTCTAAGGTTGTGTCTTTAACTAAATACATAAGAAATAAACAAAAAAATTAATTGTAATGAAAATTTGCGGTCCCTTTAATTACTTTATTTTTCATTTACTTACTAATATAAAAATGTTCTTGAAAACCGATCCTTTAAAACTTCGAACGCCGCGCACATATAAGCATTTTTTTCCTATAATAAATCTTTCACTCTAATAATACATTATGAGCGAAATTCAAACCAGTCTATAACTGATTGAATAGCAAAATATTTACATTAACATCCAGTCCGAAGCACCTCCTCATCCAACTTACGATAAACTCCAATTTTCAATAACAAATGGATATCAATCTCGTTGGTCTAATTCTAAGGCTTTTTATTTTTGAAATTTTTAAAAAAGAATTTTTCTTGAATTAAAAGTTCAACCAGTTAAACGACTTGTGGTTTTTATAGAAATTTTATGCGATTTTTCTAGAATTTTTAAAATATTTTTATAAACATAAAAAACGAATTAACTGTAAACAATTATTTAATACTGAATATAAATAATTAAAATCTTTTCATGAAATTTTTATTAAACTTACAATTTTTTCTTTTTTTTTTTATTAACAAATCTACTATAGTTTTAAGATAAAAAGAAAAAACAAATCAATTAAAAAATATATTTGTTAAACTCTTTCTTATATAAAAAAAAAGAAAAAATGTTGTTAAATTTTTTTATCAAAAAAAATACATAAGTGTTTCCGTACAATATTCTACATAATACCATACTAATACTACACTACTAAATAAAGCTACTCTTACTTAACGCAAGATGCTGCACCTATTCGTCCGTCCATCCGCCTTTCCTCATCTGTTGTCAAAATAACAGTAAAACAGTTGCGAAAATTGTGTTAGAACACTGCAACTCGGCCAGCATCTTACTTAATAGGCTCGCTCGACATATTCAGTGGAATCGCACCCACATGTTCGTCATTCTCCTGTGCATGATTACGTATGTAAGATTTGTTAAATTGAGTGTGCGATTACTTAGTTGAATTTAGAAACAAATTATACCAAGCAGCAAAAATACAAAACTGTTAACTCTTAAAGTATAGAGCACAGATAAAGGGCCTTCGAGTTACACTTCAATACGGAGATCATTTTCTTACCTTTGTTTTTGTAAATAACGATTACTTGAAACCAAACAAAGGAGTAGTGAATGTGCTAAGTTACATAAGAACGTATGTAATCGATCTGAGATCGTTTAAAATTATATTTCAATGATTTAAAGATGAACTAACATGAAAGTGTTCCTAAACGTTTAGCGTTGTAATAAAAATTAAAACCAACTTTTATTAAAGTGATTATGAAACCAAATCGCTCTCTTTCTCTCCCTCTCTCTCTCATTTTAAACATATAAAAGTATGTGAAAACGTTTTAAATTGTTAAAGTGAAACATAAAATGTTAAAAATAGTTTTTCTAAAACGAATAACATATTTTATCATTATTACGTAATAATGAGGGCAATAACACTAAATAGAGGACTTATAATAATATCCCGTTTATAATAAAACAAAAAAGACTAAATATTGTTGCGATAATTAAAAAAAATGTTGCTAATCTATTTTTAATGACTTAAGTGAAAAATGCAGAAAGTTAAAGATACACAAATGTTTATATGATATCTCTGCACAATTAAAGAATTGTAAAAGTGAAACGAGTTTTTCATTCATTGTAAATCCTGCAAAGATATTGTGCTTTAATGACGAACTTGAAAACGCATTACATAACTAAGAAATTTGAACTAAACGCATGCATAGCTGTTTAGAAAACATTTCATTAAAAAAAAAAAAAGTTCACTTGGGATTGGTTGCCTATTACCAACTGTCAGTATATCATGGTTATTTATTCTAAAGTCAGTCCTATTCATCTGAATCTCTTTTGAATTTTCTTGCACGATTTTCATTCACTTTTACACGATCAACGTAAAATCTAATTAGGGTAAATAAAAACCTCTTTTTAAGTGATTTCGTTTTTATCTACGCAGGGTTATAATATATAAATTTCTTTCGCACAAATTTCATTCACTTTTAAACGATCATACTACGGTCTAATTTATGCATATAAAACGAATTCTTGGACTTATTTTTAGCTAAGTTCCATTTTATTTACCCTGGACAATTGAGTATAAATTATTCTTTTTGCACGATTTTCATTCACTTTTACACGATCAAGCTAAAATCTCGTGTATGCGAGTAAAACAGATTCTATAATATTGCGGTCTCATATAAATTTTTAAATTTTCAATATGTTGAATTTTATATCTTGACTGCACATCAACTGCTACTGCTTTGCTCTATCTTACATGTAGTTTTAAAAAGCATCTGCATTGTACCAACAGAGATATGAGTGTAAGCGATAATAAATTTGCCAGAGAATATTCGTATAGACATATAACAAAAGTACAAGGCCAACAAAACTATTGTTTCGATAAATAAGCTTTTGAAGATTTTTGTTCATTTATATGACATATGATTGACTTGAAAGATAATAAGTTGTATTATTGAGGGAATTTGTTCATTATTTCATATATAATTGGTTATTCATTGAAATTGTTTTTTTCTTATAAAATTTAATTAAAATAAAAACTATAACGTTTGCAATAACTCAGGTTGCCCAGTTTTGCTTCTCAACTGTAAAAACTATTTATTTATTTATTTTTTTTCTTTAAATTAAGTAAAAATCGTTTTTGAAGGATAATTAACTGTAAAAAAACCCTTAAATGTAATATATGCAAATTAAAATGAAACCAACTCTTTAAACATATTAGAAATATTTACATAAATGATAATAAAAATTTGAATAAAAGTTAATTATTACAATTGCAAATATTTTATGAAAATTTCATTCAAAACATAAGCTCGTAGCAAAGCAAATTTTTGGTTTTCATAAAAAAAAGAAAAGAAAGAAAAACAAACTTTTCTTCTCGTACCTGAACTTTTCCCTCCTTGCTCTCTTCACTCTTCCAAATGTTTATCTATTTCTAAAACACCCATTTTACAGCTCTTTTGATTGTTTAGCTCTACTGCAGTATTACTAAAGGTATGAAAAAATTAGAATCAATTCATTTAATTACAAGAAAACTTGAAAATAAATTATAATTTTTAATATAAAAAAATGTTTTTTTTTATTTTCATTTCTATTTTTCTGAAATATTTTCACATACCTAAATAAGGCAACATTGGGGACAGTGGAGCGGTTTTTAAATGGATACTTGAGCAGAAGGCGGACGAGAGCATACAATTGATAGATCGTGAGACCTTAAATGATTATATAAATACTAAAGACTTTTTGGCTGTAATATTTTGTAAGTATAAGAACTTGAGAAAAAAACCCAAAATAGTGCAAAGTGTATTAAAAAGGACACTTATTAATTTTATTAATAATTAATAATAATAATAATAATAATAATAATAATAATAAATAACTAAAATAAAGCTCTTCTTTAGAGTCTCAAGAACCTACCAAGTACGAAAAAGAAGGCTCAAACAATTTAAACTAAAGACAAACTAAAAAAAAAAAAAAAAAAAAGAACAAAGGAAGAAAACAAATCTAAAACTGTAACTGCTTTTAAAAATCAAAGTAGTCGGTTAAAATTAACGGTTACTACTTTTATTAAAAAAACTTAAAAAAATTAATTATAATTTACTTTTATTTAAAACGACATTAACACATTTTTGAACTAGAAATGAAAGAAAAGCATTTTTTTTTAATTTTAAACTCTTCTATGCCTGTTCTCAACTTTTCCTTAGATAAAGAAGACGATCCCGATGCTCCTCGGGTTTTACGGCATATCGAATTGATTGACGACGAGGCATCGGAGTACGGTATATACATTGTTAAAATGCATGATAAATTAATGGCGAAAAAGTACGGCTACCGTAATCCCCCGGGCATAACCTATTTTCGTAAGGGCAAATACATTAACTATGACGGCGATATAGACGACGAGGAAGAAGTTTTAGATTGGCTTACCAGTCCGGCCAATATGGAAATGACCGATCATATTGAACAAGTGAACCGTAAAATGTTTGAAAAGATACGAAAAACATCCGACTATTTAGCGGTTATATTCTGTAGGTATTCACGAGGATTTCATTTTTTATTTCAAATTTAAATATTAATGAATAATTTTTTTTTCTTCCCCTCTCTGCTTGTTTTAGATAGCGACGATTGCAAGCAATGTCCTCGCGTCTTGGCCGAAGTTGAACATATCGATGATGAAGCCGATAAAGCGGGAATAGATTTCGTTAAAATTGATGACAAACAAATGGCCAAAGAGTTTGGCGTTTTCGCTTTACCGGCCATAGTATTCTTTAAACCAAGCTCCAAGGAGCCAGTTATTTACGCCGGTAAACCGTTTTGATAGCCAACGTTTATTAGGATTGTTATGTTAATATGATTTTCTTCTTCTGGTAGGAGATCTTTATGAAGAAGAACAAATCCTCACTTGGTTATTAACGCAAAAGGATCCAAGTGGAGATGTTATTGAAGATCTTGAGGGCGATAAATTAGTTAATTTAATTGAAGAATCTGGTTCCATTGCTGTCTATTTTTGTAAGTTTTATCATTACATGTCGTACATGTGTACATGTATGTCGCTGTATATTTTAATGGGTTGCATGCACGTCTATGTGTATGTGTGTAAGAATTTTAAAATTAAAAATATTTCAAGTACAAATGTAAAAGCTTGTACTGAAACTGTAATCGTTTTGGTGACACATGACACCATGGGAAATGTTCAAGATTTTTTTGCCAAAGAAGAACAAATTCATGTCCTTACCATCTACACAAAATCATCGGGCATGAAAACTTTGCTTTAAGCTAATTACGCAAATAAAGATATAAAAATAAAAAATATTTATGCAAGAACCTATAAAGAGAAAAGGGGCTCAAAATATCACAGATTTTATTCACTGTTAATAATCAAATTAGAAGAGTTCAAAAGTCAAGATAGAGTATCTTTGATATCCTCATCTCAAAGTTTTGATAGGGCGTACTTCCGTTCCCGGCAATTTGTAACTTAGGTGCTGCCAACTTACATGTCTCATAATTTATAGTAGCCCATCCTTCGTAGGTACCCTTCAGCGTGATAACTTGTATTGTTGCGTAAAACTCAATGATAATATTTTCGGAGGGAGAAGTCACCGTTTTATTTAGCAAGCGTTACTACTTTTTACGTTTTCCGCTAGAAAACAGCGGCCACTTCTTCTGAAGTCTTAAGACGTAAAACTCAACAAGTGGGGACACATGTATTAGTCTGGGCACAATCTCTACCCCTTTCTATTTTTTCCATAGTTCTTTGCGAGCATTACTGTGGCGCACGCGTACAGAAAACATTCCCGGAGTGAGCGAGTCGTCTTGATAGATCCTCTTATTATACACCTTTTGATTGATTTCAGAGCGAAAATAAGAAAATTTCACCGAACGTACTTTAATGGATTTCCAAACGGTCGCCACAAACACGCGTAAAATTTTCAGCTATTAGTTAGGCTTGTCTGACGCAAGAAATTCCTTTTGAAAAATTCTTCCAATGTTAGCAAATATTGATTAAATGTTATCTATATCAACCTAAAGTGTCCTATTTGTTGTTGTAATTCTTTATGTGTGTTTTGTATCATCATCTAACCTCCTTTCCTCTTTACACAGTGTCGATAAAAAAATGTTTACGTCAATATATATCAGATTATTGAGGGTAATATTAAGAAAAAAAACCACAAGAAAAGAATTCCATTCGGCTTTGGTCGAATTAATTACCGCTTACCATTAAACTGAGTACGTTATTTAAAGACAAACAGACCGCACATCCATCCACTCGATTTATTAACGGCAGATTGTATCCCTCACATCGTAATATCGTATGTATTGTACTGTACTGTACTGTATTGTACTGTACAAACGAGGACCCGCTGAGTTTACGGTATCGGCTAACCGGCCCGGCTCAACGGACGTTAGCGTTTGAGAAAGATTTAAGATTATATTTTTGAAGCATTTAAACTAAAAGCTCTCTGAAGAACGGCTGCGGGCAGTCTGATGGAGAATTTTTTAATTGTTTCTTAATGCGTCCAATAACATACGGGTTATACCACCGTCTTGGTTGTTGCGACTCGGCTATGAGGCATTCCTGCATACGTTGCATATTTAGGCGTTAGAAAGAAATGAGGGGAGAGAGAGAGAGAAAGATAGATAATGGCTATGCCCTTACCGACTGAACCATACTGAAGTTTGAACCACGGACTCGGTAGTCGCGGCTTGGCTCTGAGGCATCCCTGAAAAAAAGTGTAATCTAAAATTTGTTCTCCTAAAAATTGATTTAAGAACGCGATCGTGATTTAAGTGAGAGGGCAAACAGATCGACATGTGTAAATTTGTTACTCTTATTATTTTGATGGCGAACGTATACGCAATTTTTGAAGCACATCTTTATGTGTTACGAGCATTTTAAAAATCTACCGGGTAATGTAATTGATGTGAAAAAAGGAAAAAACATTCGTTTTTAATAAAAGTTTTTTTCAAAAGCATTTTCCCAAGTTGTGTGTTACACTTTTGCGCAAAAAGTTTACAGTTTCATGAATTCAACAAATATGCGAACAAAAAAAGCATCTTCTACTTTGTTTATCAAGGCGTAATAGATAACCGGAAAAAAATACAAAGTGACTAACCCAATATTTGTCTTATAAAGGCTGAGTATATAAGTTAAATTTTCTGTATTTTTCTAATCCTTTAAATTCATAATACTTGTGGAAAAAAAAAAAAAATATATATATATATATGTACATGTATATATATATATAAAATAAAAATATTAAAAATCCACACGAACTGCACTTAAAAATTGATACCCTTCACAATGCTCTCGACAAACAACACAATAGGGAATAAAACACAATGCGATATATGCAATTCAAAGGCAGCACGTAAAGCACGCTTGAAAAAAGAGAAAGAACAACAACAGCAGCAGCAGCAAGATAGCGGTGGTGGTTCTAGTGCCGGTGCGGCAGCAGCTTTGGGTGGCGAAGGCGAAGCAAGCGAAGGTGGTACCGAAACGCCGACGGATAGCAAGCATGAAGACGGTAGTGATGATGATGATGTTGAAAAGTCCTTCAAATTCCCCCTTATGCATATACAATGTGTTCCCGTTTATGACATGTATTGTTCTGATTGATTTATAGAATGGAGAATGTATTGCGTAGATTGTTTCCACAAATCCATCTCCTCTATGAATTGAATGAATGCATCATTTGTAAACCATTGTGTAAATACGTTTTGTTCTCGTTCCCCTTTCTCTTCTTGCACTTACATAAAAGCCCCTATTACACGATTTACCATCTTTTCTCCCTCTTTTAAAACTCTACACCACATTGACCACCAATTGACAAAAATTAAATTTTTTTTTTTTTTTCTTAATGCTGTTGCAATGCTGTTGTTTATATTTAATGCTCTTTTAAGCCTGAATTTTTATTAATTTTTAATTTTTTTGTTTTTTTCAATCATTATTTAATTTTTATAAAAACTTTTTTCCTAAATGATATAATTTGTGCAAAAAAAAAAAAAAAAACAAGATGTCGATGGCTGTGAACAGTGTACTAAAGTCTTGGAGGAATTGGAAAATATTGACGACGATTGTGATAAGCATGGCATAACCTTTGTTAAGACTAAAGATTTTTCGGTAGCCGATAGTTATGGCGTTCATGATTATCCCGCTCTCGTCTATTTCGAAGGTGGTATACCGAATGTATTTGAAGGTAATAACAATGCATTAATTGTTTACTTAAAATTTTTTTAAAATAAAAGTCAAATTAATTGATTATCACCAGGCGAACTTAATGAAGAGGAGGAAGTTTTACAATGGCTGATTACTCAAAAAACTGAAGATCGTATTGAGTTAATTACGCGACAAATGCTGGAAACTATGGTAGAGGAAACTCAATACTTAGCTGTATATTTTTGTAAGTACAATCGAAATTATTTCAATTCGTTGAATTTGCCATAAATTTCACTTATACACTTTACCAAATGCTATTTGTTGATTGTCATAAAAATTAGTACCACCCGATCGTTTGGGAAAACCGCCTGCTTATTGTCGCAGTTTTTGTTCTCCCTTATCCCTTCAAGAAGCCAACACTGTCACCAACACCTCAACAAGCACTACTTCCAAAACCATCATCAATACTTCTCATAAACCTAAAAATTTCCTTAAAAGTTACATAACACGTAAAAGAAAACGCATCGAAAGTCAAGGTATTCCATATTCCATACGCGTTTCTCTCAATTCAAGTAATTACTAAACATCTTCTCCGGCTAATTTTGGAAACTTTACTAAAAATAGCAAAACGCTTTTGCCTTTCTTTCTACAAATATTATAACCAAACTAAACGCCGTTTGAAAACTTGAGGGGAATCAGTCCCCTGTCAAAATTTACTTCAAAAGTGGTAAAAGAAGCTCCCTTTCAACATTAATGCTAGCAAAAGCAAGATCGACATAAAGTGACCGAAAATTGTTAATTCCTGTTTGAATAGGTTTAAGTTTAAAAACAGATATATAACTACAACGGATCTTGATTTTGCAGAGAGAAAGGAGTCCACTTTTAATGTAGACAAACTCCGCTTAAATCTCTTTCTTAAATCGCTGAAGTCAGAGTCGCTGTTATTTATACTAACATTTTTGACACTTTTGAAGCAAAATTTTGTTTTCCTTCTCTTGCCTTCATTCAACTGTTCTATTCAAAATATACTCTTAATGCATCGAGCATCCCACACTCACATTGTCCTGGTTCATTGTGTCCTAATAGGGTATCGACTTACGTCTTAGAAAGCATTATCCATAATTCAAAACAAGGACCATATACCGTACCTTTGTTCGACTCGTGCTAATGAATATGGTCACACACTGATGCCTAGAACCCAAGACCTCTAGACAGTTGAATAGTATCTTACCTGGGCAATTCGTTCTGCCTGCTTGCCTTGCGTTTGAATATTTAAATGAGTATTTTAATCATTTTTAAGTCTGGACATGTAATTTGACAGGGCCTGATAAAGAGATGAATACATCAGACCCTTCCTCCAAAGAACTATCTTCCTTTTCAAACCGGCTTACCAGTAGTGGGATTTAATGCACCTTACCGGCTGAAAGGCGATGCTTTAAATTTGATGTAATTATTTGTTATCATAGAAGACATATGCAGCCAATTTTTTGGGAGGTCTTTTGGTCAAAGTACGTGCATCTGGCATTGGTAGGCTACAAGGCGCGATATTTCAATCCGTTAGTTGATTCCGGCTTTATTAGAAGAAACAGAGTGAAGACGCTATCGAAGAGTAAAATGTACATGGATTGTCCACTATAAACAAATTATGGGTTTTTCTAAAACATAACAAGGACTACTGTGGAAGAATTGGTGTTATTTGCGGTGTATCTCACCAAATATCATTTGATTTGAAAACTTTTCTTATATAACAATAGAATTTAGTTTGGGTCGAATACCTTAATTTTTGAATGCTTTTCATCTCTATTTTTATCTCATTTTCATCTCCGTCCTTATCTTTATCTCTACCTCTACCTCTTTATCTATCTCCACCTATAACTCTAGCCCTACTTCGATGCTTTTGGTTATCTTTATCTCTACCTCTACCTCTATCTTCGTTTTTGTCTCTTTACCTCTCTCTGCATCTATCGCTATCTTTATCTGCCTCTACTTCTATTTACGCCTTTATTTCTATGCTTTTCTTTCTCTCTACTCTAACTCTATGTCTTTTTCTAACTTTCTCTTCCCCTTTTTTCCCGTATGTCCCTTTCCGGCCATCCTCTATATTTTTCTTCCACTCATCTTATTCGTATTTATTCATCTTTCCGGGCACGTCATTTCTCTTCCCATCTCTGCCTATCTATGTATCCTTCGGCGTTTTTATTTCATTCTCTTCTCTTAGTCTGCTATCTTTCTAACATACAGTTCTACTTTTCATAACACTCATCTTACGATACTGCTGTGCGTTGCTGTTACTATTTCTTGACTAACTTTAACACACTTAACTTACTTGAGCAAGTAAGAAAATTATATTCGGCTGAGACCGAATCTTTTGTACCCACCATTCTTTACTTAAAAGCAAAAGACAAAACAAAAATAATAATATAGTCGGTACAACATGCGTGGAAATTGATATTGTTGGTGAATAATGGGCAGAAACCAAATTTTTTCTTTGTTTTTGCTCTTGAAAACAAAGATGTTTCCAATTTATCTAGCACTGTAGGCGTGTCTTTTGACCGATTTGGCTCGTTTTCGATATCAGCCTATGTGCAGAGACTTGTTGTAGTTTTGTAAACTTAACCCGATGCGATAATTTTTTGGTCAAGACGCCACAGACATGTTATAGACTTGACTGCACCGAATCAGAATTTAATACTAATAGAAGATACTTTAGCGGGTTTCTGAAGTTTAATTCCGACTGTTGCAAAGGTCCTAACAAAACGGATATATTTCCGTCCTTATGGGGTGGGTATAAAACATCCCTGCTCCTCGTTTTAAAACTGCATATTTCCCTTATCATAAAAATTAACTCATTTCAGATAAAATCAATTGCAATATATGTGATCAGATCTTGGAGGGTCTCGAATTAATAGATGATGAATGCGATGTCTTCGGTATACATATGGTGAAAATACAAGATCCTCAGTTAGCAAAACGTTACTCAATTAAAACATTCCCTGCTTTGGTATATTTTCGGTAAAAATTTTCAAATCATAGTCGATTAAAAAAATTAAAATTGTCCTTAAATCTATTCGACAGCAACGGTAATCCTTTATTGTTTGAAGGTGACTTGCAAAACGAACAATCTGTCCTAGAATGGTTGATCGATGACGACAATCGTGAATTGGCCGACGAAATTGAAGAAGTCAACGAGCGCATGCTAGAACGATTAATGTCCGAGTCCACCTTATTAGTAGTGTTCTTTTGTGAGTAAATTTGTTGCGCAAAAAAGATCAAATGAAACTTCAATTTCATCCATTTCAACAGATGACGAGGATTGTGCAGAGTGCGAAGAAATTCTAGAAGAATTAGAAGAAATTGACGGAGAGGCCGATATGTTTGGCATAGATTTTGTGAAAATTGCCAGCGTAGACGCTGCCAAAAAATATGATGTTGTTAATATTCCTTCTTTAGTTTACTTTAGGTAAAAATTAGAAATTTCGCTTTCAAAGTTACATTTAAAATTTATGAGCATTTAATTAGAAAACAAGTTCCGGTATTATACGATGGTGATCTACATCAACACGATAAGATTATTACTTGGTTGACCTCGCAGGATGTATTCGAAATTAAAAATGAAATTGAGGAAGTCAATCGTAAAATGTTGGATAAACTGCTAGAGGAAAATGAATTTTTGACCGTATTTTTCTGTACGTATTTTCTCAACGATAGGTGCGTGCGGTGAGCGGAGGATACAAATGATGAATTTTTTTTTTTTCAATTTTGCAGACGAGCATAATCAACAGGAAAGCGTGACAGCCTTAGAGAAACTTGAAAATATTGACAGTGAAACGGATAACTTGGATATAACTTTTGTAAAGATGGCCGATTCGAGATACGCGAAAAAATGGGGCGTCACAAAACTGCCAGCCATGGTCTACTTTAGGCGTCGTTTTCCCAGCATTTATAGAGGTTACACTGAATCTTATAAAGTTTTACATATCATTTATCTGCATAGTTTTATACCCTACAACACATGTGATAAAAGGCTATATTAAATGTGTGTGGGAGATATACTAAAGCTTGTGCTTCTGGGCTTATCTGTCTGTCCGTCCGTCCCTTGTTTTATTTCCATTGTTCAACCTACAAGCCGCAATTTATGAGATATTTTGATGAAATTTGGTCCACTGGCATGTTTTGGCCCAAGGATGAATGCTATTGAAAATTGCACTGATCGGATTACTTCTTCGACCACTTCCCATAGAACGGTACATTTATACGAATAATTGTATTAAACGAAGTGATGTAGGGTATTTACTGCTTGGCCGTGGCCCACTACAATGCTTTTGCTCGTTTATCGATTACTATCTCTTATTTTTCATTTCTTTCATTTTTTCAATTTCATAATATTTTATTTCATTTTTTTCTTTTTTCTCATAATAACTGTGCTTGCTTGCAGGTGATTTACTTTCGGAGGAAGAGGTTTTGGAATGGTTGCGTAAAAATCGTTTCCGCCAACCGGAATTGAATATATTCATGTATGCCTTGATTGCCTTGGCTGTGGCTTTTATACTTTACACCGCCTTTTTGCTGCAATGTTTCAAGACAACACCACCGCCGCCACCACAACATCCCAAACAATCATGATAGGATTTCTGATGAATTGTAAAAGTATTCAGACAAGCAAACATTAATGAACTGATTTGTAATGAATATTTAATATCGAATTTACATCGTTCCACACAAGACAATAAAGTTTTCTTAGTATAAACGGCAAACTAGGTGAACAAAATCAACGTGAAACTAAAAGAATGTAATCAATTAATCAAGAAACAAAAAACAAACACAAATACACATACACATACACACATTTCGATACAAATAAATTTAAAGAAGAAATATTTATAAGATACTATATAAAAATATTTTCGTTTATTGGTTAACTTAATCGGTATGTGACAGCGAGTTTACTGCGAAATATTTTTTTACCGAGTGTCTTAACTATTTTAGATCTCTGGCTGGAATTGGACTGTTTGTTAAACCTGCGGGCATATACATGCTCACGCACACCTACATCGTTTTGATCTCCCTTTTGTAGCAAAGATAAGATAATGTCAGCACTCGTCGCTATCTTATCAATTCCTCTGAACTAACGTTACAAGTCATTCAGTATTGATTGCCCCTTGCTTCGAAGTAAAAGTTCAAAAAAAAAAAATATGCAGCAAATAAGCAAATTAAAAATATTAATAATTTTACTAATAACAAGTGAAGTTTCTTTAGAACTCCTACAGCTCAATGAAGTTGAACGTTTCTGTTATCCGGAATTTCATCAAAATACAAGGAGATCTTGTGAATGCATTGAGGAAAACGATCCACCCTGGGGTCTACGTGCCGTTAACATTGATTGCAGCTTTAAAAATTTCTTAACATCTGACTTAACGGAGGTATTGCCTCTCTTCAGCGATACTCTACATCTTAATTGGAATGCTCTAGAAACGATTCCTCAACTAAGCAGCGATAGTTTACGTTTACTAAATTTAATGCACAATAACATCTCCTTAGTCACCGCCAATAATTTTGCAAAGGTTAAAAATCTAAAGGAACTGTACCTTAGCTGGAATAGTATACAGATCATCGAACCGAATGCCTTTGGGGAATTGAACAGTTTGCAAACTCTTGATTTATCCCATAATAATTTGCATATTTTGGAATTTAATATATTCTCACCTCTTAAGGTCTTGGACTCGTTATATCTTTCCTGGAATCGTAATCTGAACAATACTGAAGGCATACAAAATATCGATTTTTATACTCTATTTGGCATCAATGACAATTTAAGGGTTTTACGATTGCAATCGTGTTCTCTAAATAACACCGTATTCCCAGAAAGAGTGGCTCTACAAGAACTTGATTTAAGATGTAATGCTCTAAAAAGGATACCGGAATCTTTACCCGACACCTTAGAAAAGCTAGATATTGGTGATAATCTGCTTGAAACTCTACAAGATATCGATACTAAGCATTTAACACATGTACGAGAATTCTATATGGATGATATGTCCTATCTTACAACAATCGAAGAAAAGGCTTTATTTCCCCTTAAATCTGTCGAAAAGATAAGTTTCCAAAATAATCGCCGTTTGAAGTCCATACATGAGCTGGCTTTTGGTGCGAACGCAACACATTCGCCCAGCCTACATTCGATTATATTTCGTGGCTCTGCTTTGCATAGTTTCAACATCACTCTTGCGAGAATTTTTCACCAACTCAACGTATTGGATCTTAATGGGGTGCCGTTACGGTGCGATTGCCAGCTAGCTTGGCTAAAAGATTTAACTATCGAAACAAATGGTCGTTGCATTCAACCGCCACGTTTACGTGGCTTAAGTTTAAGAAATATACGCTCTAAAGATTTTAGTTGCGAAACCTGGCCTCGTTGGTTGACGAGCATCATAATCTTTAGTCTCATTGTAGTCTGCTCGTTGGCAATATATCTAATAGTTATCGGTTTACGACCTTTCGGCGCTGTCGTAATGCGAAGAAAAATTGGTGTTAACAGTCCTTACGCTCGCGTTACCATTGAACCAAATCGTCAAGAGAGCTACTAAGCAGTTTCATCGATTAATATAAATATTTACCAAATAAGTTAAGAAATATTGTTATAAGTAATTGTATACAAAAAGTAAATTATTCTTCGAAGAACATTTTAAGAATAATTTACTGTAAATAAATATTTTTGATAAATGTACAGAAAATACTTTGAAAGAAAGAGGACTGACAGAAATGTCGATGAGGCAACATTTTAGTATGAAATCACGGAACGATTCTCTGAGAAATTTCTAATGTCTATAATTCGCGATCTGTGGTCGAGGTGTAGTCAAAATATTCCATTTGCAATGAGCCAGCAGTGCCAGGCACCGAGTTATATTATTACTTCTCCGACCACCCAATACAAACCTTGAATCGCCATATCAGCTGATTGGTTAGTAAAGAATAGCAATACTAAATAAAAATAGTGTCGTTTTTCCGTCGTTGAAAAGGCTTAGGCAGAGAAACGGTCGTTGACTGAAAGCAATGTCAATAAGAAGGGGTGATCCCTAATGAATACGCGGACGCAGGGAGGATAACACACTCCCATTCATTCGTCATAATTGCATCAGTTGTTGTTCGTGATCGTCCTTAGTATCGTTAGTGCCGTTTGCTTGGAAGTACTCATAACGCATTAGTCCGTCCTGTCACCCCACTAGGAATTCTATGTATATTCCGTACTATCGTTGATATTTATTTTGGATTTATTATTTGCCGATTATCGGCACGCATACATTGTTCATCGCTTATTTCGACTCAACAGCGGAGTCCTTCAAATAAAAGCGAGTTCGTTTAATACACTGCTCAACCATTGCAAGTCTTAAAAGAAGATTATATTTATTGCACTTCAGTAGGGTAACCTGCACAGCTATGCAAACCTTAAAAGCACTACATTCCCCGAGAATCACTGTCAGAGTCACTGTTTAAAAAATAACTTTCTCAAGAGGAGGAAATGGCTGAATAGTAGTTGTTTTCGTTTTTCTTATGCCGTTTTCTTATGCCTTTCGTTTTCCTTCTTTTCTTTAATTTTTTTAGATTACAACCACTTCGGCTGGCAAGAATATCGAATTTAAGAAACTAAGGAACCAAAATTTGTTCCAAAACTACCTTGCGCTTTTTTGTCAAATTTTGGTCAATTCATTGCACCAGTAAAACAAATAAGCAAGCGGTGCGTTTGCGAACAGACTAATGCAGAAAGTATACGAAAACATTTGAAGTTGTTTGCTAAAGTTCAATTAAAAGATGTGTGTGCGTTGTTAACCTGTCCGGCAAATTGCATCAATTAATTCAATTAATTTAATTACAACAATATTTGAATACAAAACAATCCGGTTGATTTCACTTACATACAAAGATTGGTATTCATGACTAGAAATTTAAGACAATGAACGACGATTAAAATAAAAGGAATAAAACAGTTAAGTGAATATTGATTACAAAGAAAATCTCATTCCTCTTTTTATCAAAATTCAATGACCTTTTCTTTCATAATTCATAATTCATAATTCATAGATTAATTTCATTAAATCAAATATTAGCTTGGGGAAATAATGCGATTTTATTGACTTTAATCGCATAGCGATGAATCCTACAGTTTCTACTATATTGGGAGGACATCCATTTATACCACCAATGAGCTGAAATGTGTGCGTGTGTGTATAAAGAGAAAAAAGTAGACTATTTGAAGGACTTCGACCAATTGCTTGACACCAATTGCTTATCCAAATGCAAGTAGAAGCCACTAACTGGACGAAGGAAGAGCACTTAACCGATTACAAGTGCGTACGAATCGCTTTATTAGAGTTGTATTTTTGATTGATTTTATGCAGAGAATATGAGCGTTTACGCATGATATTTAATTCGTAAGGCTACATTTCTACATTTATGGGCTGGTGTGTCAAACAATAAAATTACTTGATCTAAATTACGTCTAAAGTTCATTCATGACAAATTATTATTAAACCGAACATTTACTTATACTATTTTCATCCAGTAATGTACTGTCAGGTAGCAATACTACTTATGTTTCAATTCGATGCAGACAGCCAACATGTGGTACATAATTGAGCGGATCATAAAAGCAATTAAATAGTAATCGATAAAAGTGCTGAATGTCGTTCGCTCTCGTATATACGCAATAGAACGTCATTTTGCCACTAGATGGTACTCGGTGTCATATATCAGGCAGCACTAATCAGATTGAGTCGCGATAACAAGTTTTTGAAAAATAAGTCTACATTTTTAGAATTAAACTAGTGTGAAATTAGTGTGAAAGAGGAAGAAGCGCTGTCTGATTTTCGGAAAAAAATTTATGGTGCCTACGGTTAATCGTGTATCCGATAATTAGGATATGATAGAACAACACCAGCATAAGCTTCTAAACGTGTTTGATAGGCCTCCGCAGCGTATTTCTTGAAATCAAACAACAAAAGTAGTGAAAGTCGAAAAAACAATTTTGAGCGTTACATGGGAGCGTTTAACGCAAGACCATCATCGTATAGAGAGAAAGGTCGCAATCATCGAATTTAACTATTGCGTGCATATTTACTTCGCACTATTTTATCATTTTCAACGTTAGATGTCGTAGATCAAAATTCATGCAGACATTTATTATATATGTTACCATTAATATCGAAAACCTAGCAAGAATTATGAATATTAAGTGCCCGCTAGCTACTATTATCAAATCGGTACTGTAGTCGCGAACCACTATATAATTTGAATAGACCACGTAGGGAATGAAGCAACTCATAATTTGTGCGATATTGGGAATGCGTGATCGGGTGCGACAGACGAATTAGAATGAAGCGAAGTCACGGAGCCTTCTTGTATTTTGGTAATGTCCGTTAAACGAGCTTACAAGGACCCTATTACGAAAATGAAAACAAAATGTCCTATATCGATTATACATTTAAAACTGAGCAGTGTGGCGCAAGCGAAGCCTCAACTTTCGATGCCGAAGAATGTTTTGTTCCTTGCAATGGGAAACGCAAAGTTGGGCCTTTCGGTGCCGAAAAATTCGTTTGCTTCCTCTACGAGAAAACATTTCTTCAGACACCCCTAGGCATTTAGTTTCGTTTAATAAAATAAAAACGTTCTCTGTACGCAAACATACGTAACGACTCTGTTCTGCAAACGATAAACTTTGTTTATGTGAAAATAAATTTTTTTATAAAATTTAGTACAAAGCAATCACAAAGAGTTTCCATATAAGTAATGTACAGTAGTTGAACAGAGCTCGCAGAATATAACAGTTTGCATGCATGCATAATTTTTGAGCTGACTAGAAAATGAAGAGGGTACAAGTAAGAAATTTATATTCACCTAACCTCGAATATATGATACCTTTCTCTTCGAACGAGTGTCGTAAAATTGTAAAAAGTAAAAGCTTAACCGTATTTCCATCAGTTAGGAATTTTGGAACCTTTTCATTCATAAAGTCTATTTTCTAAAGCCGGGAAGCCAGTTTCAATTATGATATTGCTGATGGGCGTCGTGCAAGAAGCACCGCTACTTGCTCTAAGGGCTTAAGGATGTTGATACTGGATTTGCAACTATCGCCATAAACTATCATACCACAGCCGATCTTACTTGTACATATAAGCGTGTATATATTTGTATGTAATTCTCTCATTTAAACGAATTTGTTATTTGTTATTACGACTTTCAATATTTTTTGAATTTTTTAATACATTTTTCTGATGAATTTTTTTCTGCGATGTTTCTATGAATTTTTTCGTTCTCACTCATCACAGGCACGCATTGTAACTTCGCGTTATACTTTCCAAAATTCGCGTTATACTTTACGCAAATAATTATATGCGTATAAGAGTGTGTGTGGAACTAGATTTTATCATTAGATTAATTATTATACTCACTGAAGGATGAGGGCCAAAGTCATTTTGTCAAAACGGTTGCAGCGCCCAGAAGGAAGCTTCGATACCGTACCCAGTACATATATCATACTATAGCTATCAACTTTAAATTTGCCAGAAACAGTAGAAGTGCTTGGGAGATGCAATAATAACTGCAGAAAAATGGAAAAAATGGAAACCCCTACACAGCATTGTAGCGTGTAAGGTGTAGTCTTTTTTAATACGCATATAACGTGCAAAACAAATTTCAAAAACCTCATAAAGTATATAAAATCTTCGCCAGGTTCAAACTTGGAATGCATGCCCGGCTGTTCATCGGCCTATCTATTTATCTATCTATCTATCTATGCTGTTTGTGAAATTGAAGCGACGCAAACTTTTGAAAAAGACGCGCCCACGCGACAAAAACTTTTATTTTGAAAATAAAAAAAAATGAGGCGAGCCCACTCCATATTATAGAGAATGAAAATTTAGTTCTTTTACTTTTGTTGCCCTTTTTAGTATAGCGGTGATGGGTATAAGAGATTCCGTCGCGACCAAATTTAATCTTCTTATTTTTTTTTTTTGGATCGATAGGCATAAAGCAAATTAGGAAATTAAGACCATTACTGTTGATTCGACTCCCAACTAATTAACTAACGAACCTTTGACTTTCTATTCCTTTTGTAAATAATTTTTGATTTTTTTAGTGAAAAAGCATTATTTTCAAAACGTTTCAAATAAAATTTGCAGATAAATATATCTCTCTATTATGTAAATATATTACATAAGGATAATATGAAAAATATATGCTCTAAAAAATGTATCATTGAAAGCTTATTATGAAAAGGACGATGTAGCAGAGAAATAATGATAACTTTTGCAAAAGCGTAAAAACAAGCGAAGCGTAGAAAAATTCAAGGCCCTCTTTAAGCTTAAGCGCAGCGAAATTTATTATATTATCTGCTCTATTGTGGTGTTGCTATTAATTAAGACCGTGTTAATTAATGTGAACGCAAATCTTGTACTCTCAGCTAACCGCATATTTTCTATGCAATTAAAGTGTTCATCTTTTTACTTTTTTTTTTTTTTTTTTTTTTTTTTTGTTAAAATATTTCCTTGAACTTTAAATGAGAACTTTTTTTTCATTTTTTTGTTTTCGCACTTATTAAGCAAAAAGCAAAAAAAAAAATACAAGAAAAACACTAGAACTGAAACCAAACAAAAACACAAAAATACTTTAAGCAACTTTTGCTCAAAGAACCTTAACATGACTTTTCAATTACAGCATCAACAACAGCATAATAGTAAAGGCAGCAGCACATCGTTAACAACAACACAGTGAAAGCCTCAACATCGTCGTCGTCATCGTCATCGCCATCGCCATCGTCATCGTCATCGTCATCATCATCATCATCATCATCTTCATACATAAACATGAGTATAAAATTGATGCTTAAACCTGAAGCAAGAAATACACAACACAAATGCTCACATATTCCTATATACTACTCTTAGCTTTGTTCAAAAAACTTTTGCTTATATATACGCAAAACAAATCTTAAAGCAAAAGGATTTAAATGTTCCGAATGACTGAGTTTGATGAAAAGCAGTGTCATCGTCGTCAACAAGAAGAATAACAAACTTATAGAATCCTCGTTATCGTCAACAAAGCTAAAGAAGCGATTTTCATTTTATAAGCATTAAAATTCTTTCTACATACACGCTGACGGATATTTAAAAATACCAAAACAAAAAAAGTTTACTCTTAACAAACTGACGATATATGATTAAAAAGAGCGAAGTATATTCGCTTATGAGGAAAACTTTAAAAAAATTAAATAAGTTTAAAAACAAGAAGACGAACAAGACCGTCTGTCTGATAAATGTGTGTGCTTCTTATTTTCAAAAATTATTAAAATTTATACGCAAATAAGAAAATAGAAAAATGGGTAAAAAAAAAAAAAATTCATAATGATGTGAGAAAGTGTTTTTAATAAAATAATTAGTCTCTTAAGAGGCAAAAGAAAAAAAAAATATAATAAAAATAAATAAATAAATAACAACAAACAGCCAACACACAAAGACCAAGACCAAGCAACTAGCAACACTTTGCATCTATTGTGTAACTTTGGATAAACGGAAGGAAAGGAAGGAAAAGGTAAAATTTCAACATTTTCACGTGCTTTTCTCTCCATTGTGAGAATGTGTTAAGGTGAAAATCCATTAAAACAAAAAGCACTAACGCACATGCACACAAACATTGAAATGAATGCACACTCACATATGAGTCGAAAGATTACTACAGCATTGAGAGCGTTACACAAGAAACAAAGAGAGTTTGCGCAATTTATTGAGAACAAAAATTCTACAAACGTACACACACACACACACACACACACACATTCAGGCACAAATAACTCGACATTATTATGCTTCCGTCCTTCCTTATTATTTATATGAGCGCGCATGTATATGTGTGTGCATAAGTATGCACATAAGCTTGAGCAAGCAAGCAGTTGTTGGTGTGCCACTGGCCTAGTGCCTTGATTTCTTTTAAAATATACATTATATTATCGGTAGGTCGGTCCATGTAAAATTGTATAAATATTTTCAACAGCCAGCCATAAATGAAATTGAAACTCTTTCGCATTTATCTACATATGCGAAAATAATTGAGCATCGGCAGCAAAAGCATCCTAAAGCCGTTTCATTATTGCCTTCGCCGTTGCCGTTGCTGTTGCTATTGCTGTTGCTATTGCTGTTGCTACTGCTGCTACTGCTTCTGCTGCTGCTGCTGCTCCGAGTGTTGTGACTGGTGCTGTTAACATCATTCATTTGTTTGAATAGTTTTTGAAAAGTTATTTGTCACGCATTCTAACTTCAGTCATTCTATGACTGTTAAACAGTGTAAACGTGACAAGTAACAACAAAATGAGTAAATTAATGCTTTGTACATAAATGTGTTTATCAGTGCATAAGTTGTAATCACGATTAAATAATTACGAAATAAGAAAAAAAAAAATATCTCTAACATAATTTTTCAAAAACAAAAAAAAAATTAATAACAAAAAAAATATATTTATTCATGGTGTTTTTTTTTTTTTTTTTCATTTCATCTTGCAACAATGAAGTTATAATGATGGGGAATGATGTCATTATTTACTCTTGATAGCATCATAAAAAACTTCATTATAAATCTCGTAGACATACTTTCATGTTTTTGCGGGTATGCGTGCATGTGTATGCGCGCGTGTGTGTGTGTGTGTGTGTGTATGAATAAAGATGTGCCGTTTCGACCGCATATATTTATATATGTGTGTGCGTTCATGTGTCAGTATGCTTGAGAGTGATGTGTAAGAACGCTTGACCGCTACCACCATAATAAAAACCTTCAACTTTTTATTTTTTTTATTTTTTTTCATTCTTTTCTCTTTTCCTGTCATTTTTATGGTTTTGCGACCAACAGATGCCGAGTGTTTAACAAATTGAATACGTAGAGGAACTTAATACAACAATAATAGCGTCACACACAAATTGCTGAATAAAGGCCGACCATATATCTTACACAATATTCAACATGGATAAAGGAATTTACAACAGCCACAATAACAACAGCAATAACCGCAGCAGCAGCCATTACAATCAAAATAATAATATTTATATATTAAATTCAGATCAAACAGTAAGTCATGAATAAATATTTAAATGATTTTTAATTAAAATAAATAAAACTTTAATCGACTTGACATAGCTAACACTGTGTAACTAACTAACAGATTAGTTACCTAACTTGTCTACGTATCCGTGATAGATCCGCTTAAACAAGCCTTTCTTAGATAGCGTTTTCGATGAGTTTCATGCGGAGGTTAGGAAGCGATGAAAATGTTGCAAGGCAAAGATTATATTTGTGATGAACAACAAGATCAACATCAATCTGTCTTTCTGTTACTGTCCGCAAGCTGTCGTGAGAAGCACTGCCTTCATCTAAGTTATCAAAAGCGTGTATCCTGAATTCTTTTTCCTTATCACCTAAAAATTATTTATTATACTTTGCCAATTATGGGCGTGGCAGTTAATAGATGGCTACCTTTCTTGCAATCAATTCGTATTTATTTTTTAAAGCTATTCGGCTAATTTTTATAGAAATCATTTCAATACTCGACCGATTTATTTTCGCTTCCCGTCCGATTACTGAAATTAGGCTGCGCAGAGTGTTGATACCGTTCATATAAGTTTTCTGGACCTGTTGGCAGTAGGTCATCTCATTAACTCGGTAACGTTAAGCAAAAAGGTCACTTGCTTCAGTGCAGACCAAAGGAATAATGCCCATTTTTGTGTTAACAGATCGTTTGGCGGTTCCCTTTATCGAACTAACTTCGAACTATTTTAATCAAGAATATTACACTTTACGTGTTCTTATGCATTCTTGGATCTTGTAAGTGCAACGAAGTGGGCAATATATCCCAATTCCTCGATGGTAGGTATTTATATTTTAAAGGTTTCTACATTTTGAAGTTATATTGTGGTAACGATTCTTACACATGACTCAGGTGACATTTGACGATAGTACTTATGGAAAATAGCTGAAGACTTTAGCAGTAAATTTTGACCTTATGCGATATTAAATTTGGTAGTTTCCTTCGAGTGAACTTATGGTTTTTCGGTGTATTTAGCCTATAATCATTAATTTCTATGCATGCAGCCCTGAACATGAGAATAGCACATACATCATCAAGTGAATAAGCTCATAGCTAAATAGTACGATATTTATAACCAAATACAAAAAAAATCTACCTTCAAATATAGCTTGGAAATCACAAAAAAAACCACACTATGTTGTGGAGGCAGGGCTTTTGTTAATATAACGAGTTTTCAAAGTAAGCTTTTATATGGGAAATAGTCGAAAAAGTGGTGCGATTGCAACTATTTTCAATAGCATTCGCCGTTGGGCCAAAGCATGTCGGCCGACCAGATTTCGTCAAAGATCCCAACAATTGCGAGCTGGAGTTCGAACACAAGAAAACAAGATGGATAGACAGACAGACAGAAAATAAAAGGGTGGATCTCTATCAAGTGTCTTTCTATGTGTTGCATACATCCCAAAAAATATTTACATAGAATTGTGCCTCAACTAGCCGAAGATATAAAACATGAAAAATTGATTATTTTAAATAAAAAAATTTCATCTAGACATAGAAATAGCACCAAATTCACTACAAAATATTTGAAGAAGATATAGTTGGCAACTAAAGACTTTCCGATATGTTTCCTGTGGCACTGAACATCAAGAGAGAGTTTTGTTGATTTCCCTGAGCCGGTTAGTATTTTTCAAAACATTTTGCTCCCATTTCCATCGTTTCAAAGAAATTCCATAAGTTTGAGACTACGCCGTGATAGTTTCAAACCTTCAATATCATTTACAGTTCTTACCGGATGCTTTGGATTATTCTTCGTACTTAAAAATCGCCATTTACTGACATGGAGTGAAAATTTTTCTTTTTGATATGACCAATCACTTGGAGGATGTCCCCTATTTGTGTAACACGGTGATGTTCAGAAAGAAATGAGCAAAAAGATCAGGCAGTGAAGGCTGTGTTATGCCTTCAACGACAGAGCGCCTACTGTAACTACAGCGTTTTGGAAAGCATTCGTTTGCCTATCTGCTTCTAATCGTAGCCACATGCCAAAAAAACTCACTCCACTGCGTTGTACATATATGTTTTTGTGTTATTTTTATGACTAGTATCCAAAATATATTCTGCACGCATAACATGACAAAACGAGAAAACTCTAAAAGATAACGAGAAAATTTTTTTTAAAGTAATGAATGCAAATAAAAACGAATTTTTAATTAAATCTTTAAAAATGTTGAATTAAATTTGCGCTATTTACGTATCCACAACTGCATAATATATTATCATCATTTAATATATGATATTTATGCATACATAATACATACATCTATATATGAATGAAAATATTTTATCTATTTTTGCAGTAATATAGAAACGGGTTGATAGTTAAACCTACCCTACAAGTTGAATTAAGTCCTCATCCTGCTTAAAAGTAGCAAGAGAAGTAGAGCAATAAAGTGAATGAACATTTCGCCACCAAACAGAAAAAGCCTAGTTTAGATCAACGATTATTCTTAAGTTAATCTTCGGAAACTTTTTGGAAAAAATTTTAGAGCAAATTGAGTCGAGAAAATCAAAACAATTGCAGGCAATCCGTCTTGGTCCTGAAATATTAGCATACCAAAGAATTGCGAAAAAATCTGCCCTAACCCAACGGACGTCCACAAACTAGGTTTTCTTTTTTCAACACGACCAATCACCGACGGTATGTCCCGTATACGTGTAACACGGCGCTGTTAAGGAAGAAATTAAGCAAACGAAAAGATAGGAAATGGCCGCAATTTAGAGGATGTGTCTAGGATAAGTCTTAGGATAAAGTCTTGAAATATATGTCTACTGTATGTGCATAGGGTATTTGAGTGTAGTCTGCACACCGCTATATTGTTTCATTTGTTTAATTTCAAACTCCCTCTGCATTAGAAAGAAATAACTAAATAGCCTTCAAACGATCATTTAATCCACAAAAGTATAGCGTACTAATTGATTGATTTAATGAATTAATAAAAATTTGCTAATAAAAAAAAAAATAAAACTCTAATTATAAAACTTTCTAGTTATTACGAAGGAAAAAAGCGAAAAAGCAAGAAAAATTTCATTTATAATAAAAAAAGCGAAGAAAATAAAATCTCACTTGACCGCAAACAATGAATTTTGAAGTTTGCAACTATTTTCAACTTTCTGCTGAAGCAAATAAAAATATTTTACGGTTTTTTATATCAAAATTGCAAAAGCAATTTTTCCCTTCATTTCATAAGAGAAAAAAGAAAAAGTTTATAGAACAAATCAATAAATGTATAAATAAGCATTAAAATTATATTTTCTTAATAGCTAAAAGTAGGCAATATGTTTTTTTTAGCTTTCAAAAAATATTTTAAGCAATTGTGTGTCGAAAAATTTGGCCTCAGCTGAAATTAATTTCTTTCTACTTTTTCCAAACCAGTTCGACTCTTACGAGTGAATTACCTACGTTTCAGTCAGATATCATACACCATCTGGTGATTGGCTTTGCAGCAGTACGCTCAAGGCGAATATAATTTTCTTCCGAGATCTTTTTGAAAACCTGCTATGCAAAATAAAAGGCTAACCTGATGCTTCTACTGCGCCACTGGGAGCTAACACGTTGTTTTCTTTTGTTCCTGCTTCAGTTCACAAAGTTGTGCAGTAAAGCGCACAAATTAAAAGTGAAAGAAATAAGAAAAAAAACTATATTGGGCGGTCACCGAATGCTTTATGCCCATCAACGTTATCATAAAAAAACTAAGTAAAGAACAAGAAGTAAAGAAAAAGTAATGAAAAAAAAAATTAAATTTTGATATGCTGTAATATTGGGCAGATATGGTCAATTCTTGGCATTTTTACACCTACACTACAGCATCGCCCCTAGGATAGACGTTCAAATTTTTGCAGATTTATCTGCAGTAGTTTACGAGTGAAGGTCGAAACAAAAATTTTTTTCTTACTTTTGAAAAACAAAGGTGCTTTGAGTTTACATGGTACAATAGGCGTGTGCTTCGACTGATTTGGTCCATTTTTAATGCCAACCTACGTGCAAGAACTTCCAATGTTTCTGCCAAATTTGAATTCGATAGCTTCATTTTTGCGGCGAGTAGAATGTTTACAACAAACTTTATACAGACGGACAGACCAACAACCGGAGAGATAGGCTTTCTTAAGTCGATTTAGAATTTAATGCTGGCCAAGAATATATATAATTTGTGGGGTCTTTGAAGTTTCCTTCTGACCGTTGCAAACGTATTGACAAAATGAATATACTGCTCATCCTTCGGCCATGGGTCTAAAAAAAAAAGGACGGCTGGAAGAAATGAAATAATTGAGACGAATATTTCCCTCTACGCGAATCAGTGATTGTAGACTAGGAGATCAGTAATGTTTTCGAACGTTCGCTTGTAGCCCCCACAAATAAAGGATCCTATAAGATGATGAAATGTATCCTACAATTTTGAATCAAGTTAACCGTGACATCTTTCATGGCTGCAAAAACGGAAGAATAAAATTGCGATGATAGTTTCTTAGCTCGAAAATCAGGCCTAAAATTATGTTTTGCGCGTGCCCAACCACACTTCCAAGTAGCTGATGGATGTCAAACAGATTTATATGGGAATTAAAATTTTCTACTTGTTGGCGAGTAAAAATTGTCTATTAATGTCTTTAGAAATACATAATACATAACGGTATCTATAAAAATGTAGAAATATTGTTTGGCATTATATTGTTAAAAACAAGAGAATCGCAATTAGAAAAGCATCCTATCAGGGAGAGTTTCCTGACAATTTTTACGCCTTGTTTACGATGTGGTTTATTGAAAGCCTGCATCTCATAGCAAAATATAAAATTCGGAGAATATTCCTTTGATCGCAAGTGTCAAGACCTCTTTAAGCTTGACTTTCAAATATCTTATGTAACAACACAAACCATAACTTGTAAGCTGTAATTTTCTACATATTGCAAGCATATTTTACCGAATAATAGTTGAGCGTGCTGCAGGTATTCTTCGAAACAGTTTCTTGGCTCTTGAGGAGTGTGGCCTTCAACCAGCTTACCGTGTATGATGAATATACAAGTCATGAAAAAAGTGCTAAATTTTATGTTGTGAGGAATGTATACGTAATAATTAGTCCATCCGTCCTTGCCGGATTTCCACATAAAAAAGTTTATCATTATGAATACGTATTTGCCGTAATAATGCACTTTAGAATGTGTGTATGTCATTTTGTTAAGCAATTTTATTACAGACTAATTTCATATTGCACATACTCTGCGTATGACGACTACACTCGTCATCGCTAAATTTTTGGCGGCAAGGTCGCAACAACAGATGTCGACACAAGCAACTAGTCAAATAAAAACATACACGTTGGGCATTAATTTATTATTTTCTACAATTTTTGTGTCTGTGGATGTGGCTATATAAGACAAACAAATTACAAAACGGACCGAGGGACGGGCCGACGAACGTGGGTAAATCGTCGCAGGATCTGATAGACTGTAAACTGTCTAAATTTTACGAGATTTTTGAGATGTCTATCCGAAAGCTACAAAGATAACCTTAGATATACTGTCCCCTTCCCCTTGTTCCCCTTGTGATGTACAAAAAAAAGCAAAGGTACAATTCCCTTTAAAGTGCTATGTTGGGTCGACTTTAGGCGACAATTTCTTTAGTTCGCTTGGTGAATACGAAAACTTTTTTTATTACCTTATGCCTTAATAACCGAAAAAATATGGCAGATGTGTTTCCTTTGGCACTGTTAATTGGTGCCAGGATGCAACAAGCTTGCGTTACGTAACGTCTTCATTTATTCATTTAAACTAGGAAACTACATAAAATAATAATATTATTGAAGCTTAGATATCAAAACCTGTTTTATGATATATTGAAGCCACATTATACGAGGCTTTGAAATAATACATCTGAAGGCAGTGTAGGCTGTATTGCATCGAAACCGTGCTTTACACGAGCGCTGTTAGCGAGAAACTTCTATATATAGATTACTACTAGTGGAGCTGTACTGATTCAGTCATGATCCTTGGCTTTTTCATGTATCCCTTTACATCCAGACGAGTAATGTTACCGAAAACATTTAAAAAGCACACAAGCAAAAACTTGGAATAATGTGTGAGTAGGAAAGTTATGTTGA